TTCAGCGCGAAACTAGGACTTTTATATAATCGCAAAACACAAGCGACTCAAAAGAGCTTGAACACTAAACCAGAGCGACTTTGCATATCCGGACTAACACTGATTTATTAGATCGCCTTCTGCAGCCGAACTCGCTGAATCAATATTCCAGTTATGATTTCCACTTTACACATTATATGTTTTATCTTTCGAACTTCTTCTTATCTTATCCACACAATGCTGGTCAAAAGTTTTGCTTCTATTTACGGTTATGGTCCCTTGCTGTGCGTCTTTCTTGCCAGAGGTGGTATGCAGTGTGACAGCTGTATAACATGGTTCCGTGGAATATCTAACAATCTATAGCCGACCTTGCATAAACGTTGCTGCATACCAGTCTCATCCTGGTCATGTAGAGAATGCCGCTTAACTTCTCACTATGGTTAAAAAATCAATAAAACGACTGTGTCGTCTACGATGAGTTTGAAACCCGAAGAATAAATGTTTATCAGTCCATTGGCTAGCGCTGTCAGCGAAGCTCTCGATGCGGGTCGAGAATCCCACTTTCGACATGCCCACAAGGTGAAAAAAGTAACTTCAGGACGGGCTTTGATGAGCGGCCTATGCTCCTTCACGAAGAGTAACAGGAGTAAGTAAGCAGTATACACACGCATGCTATCAAAAGAAAAACAATGCCACCCATAGAAAGTGCATTTCTCCTAAACACAGCTGACCAGGGTGATTCCAGCCATACGATGAGAAGAGAGAGAAACTCTCTCCGACAAATTAGACATCAAGAAAGGATGGGTTTATTAGAAAGGAAAAACAGAGAGACTTTCGAACGCCATTGACAAGACTTTTAAGGGAGTTAGATCTAATTTTAACTTTGTTCGTTTGGAGTATGGATGAGTCGAAAGATAACGAGTCTGTTATACTGCATGTGCTTGGTTCATAGTTCGTGTAGTCATCTATTAGGAAAGTAATGCAGCAGATGTTTGGTTAGTATACGTTACCATGATAACAAGACAAGTGGGTTTAGTGCGAGACCTAATCAAGAATGATCTTAAAGTTAGTAAGTGAATGCAAATCGATAGGGATCTTACATGAAATTGCTCACATAGACGTCGTGAGTTTAATATTCTTATAAAGCGAGATTTGTCACATGGGGCTCGTATCATAATTTCTGGAGGCTGGAGATAGTACAAAATGTGATATTGAATAATTTGCACCTAGAGTCGATTACTGGGATCCCCTGCCAAAACACACCATCTGAGAACCTTTGTTGAAAAAGTCGAAGGGAGATGGTATCTTTACGATAGTACGCAGCACGAGGGTTTTCACAAAGCGCTTGAAATATTATCATTAGCCCTGACAACTGAAAAGTTTACGTGAATGAATACATATGCCGAATGATTCCAACGCAATTTCGTGGAAAAATTCGAAGGCATGAACATTGTCTAATACACTCTGTTCACTAAATAAACAATATTCATTGATCATTGCTTCACCTTTCGATTCATTCCTCAATGTGCATGCACACCATTCAAAGTCAAGGTTACTCGCTTGGATTATAAACCTGTAGCTGTTGTCATTGGAGTGTTTCCAACAGTAATTGGCAGTTATAGTCACAATTTGTAAGTAAGTTAAAATCTATTGCAGATCGGAACGTAACTTTTATTTCTAAAAACATGCCATTAGAACGTTTTGAGGTCTCGTTTTACACTTCTATATAGTCTTTGCAAGTAATAATATCCTTTCAGCACAACTTAGACTTAATCCTACTGGAAATAAGCTGGGGATTATTAAGATTGTTCGCGTTAAGTACCGATTGCACCATGCCTGTATAGTAAACTACTCTATTCCGCAAAATATTTTAAAAAAACCATTTGACTCACTGACATTTAATGCATGTCCTATTTCTTACGTCATATAATAATACTGATTGTCAGGCGGCAAGACTATAATTTATGGACAAACCAATCAGACATGAAACGACAGGTTTCATTTACCCGTTTGGCTAAATAGCGTTTTGTCGTTCTAACCCTAAATCTAATTCCTAACCTTAACCATCAACCGATAATCATAATACTAATTTTTCACACTGGTTTATAACCCTCACTTAGTCCTAGTTATCAGGTTAACCTTCGAGATCATTTAAGTTTTTCACAAAGGATGTCTATAAGAATAGTGTCACTACTTGTGGAAATTACATCGAGTCTTCTTTTGTCTTTAAATTAATAACTCCATCAATCACTTCTCCTGTTAGGGTTAAGTTTATTGGGTTTGTTTGCACATTAGTTACATGTGGCACAGGCCAGATATCCGTCTTCCAACCAAATGGCGAGTTCGCTCCGTTCTATTTTATGGATGTGAAACATGGTCATTAAAAGTAGAGGATATTCGAAGGTTACTACTATCCGATCATAGACGTCTTCAAAACATTGCTCGTGTATTTTGGGAACACGGAGCAAGCAACCTCTGGGTTAGGAATAAAGTACTAGGTAAATACGATAATTAGCTGATGAGGTATTCAATTTCCACCAATTGAGGTGGCCAGAGCATGTGTTACGTATGCCCAATTATCACCTACGTCAACGGAAGAAGTCTGGTGTAACAGCAGGTTGAAAGAAAGTTAGGTGAATCAAAACATGGAATGAATCTCGTAGAGCTCCTAAAAAGAATGCCTTGCTGCTGTTTGCTTTGATTGATTACTTCTTCAACAGCAGTTGAGACAGTTGGCCAGTACTTGTGTTTCATCACATTGGTTTCCAGTCCTTTGGGTGTCCGTAAAACTCAGAGTTAATATTCACACTTGAACCTAATATCTATAACTCCAAACGTCAAAATGGTGTGAAAACCAACTCTAGAATCCAGACACATTTAGGTAACAAGTTTTTAAACGAACTAAATAGACTTTCTGCATTCTAATGCTTTCTAGATTTAAGGACGGAGGGTTTGCACGACATTTATGCCTATTTGTAAATTTCATCTTATTAGCTGTCGTATACGAAAGATATAACGGTCACTTAATTATTAAAAACTTGTAATAATATAAACGCCTTTGTCATCTTGAGTAGATTTCACTTTTCGCTTTGGGCTCACCAAGTAAATAATATCCAGTCAATTGGAGAGACCGTTTGGTGAATTTTTTATGTAATTGTAATACTTTACCTTTTTTAAACAATAGACCCTCAATATTGCTGATTAACTAGAGGATCATTTTCGTGAAAGTGAAGTTCTAAACATTGAATGAATGCATAAAAATTTAACCTTTAAATCTTAGTCTTACTTCAACATCTGTTATCAGTTTTCATATTGAAAAGCCTACTTCTGAACTATTTATCACCCAGCTTATGTGCTTAAAATATTCTTCTCACGGTTTGGCGATTTCAATTAGGGTAAACAACTAGTCTGCACAGTTTAATTTTCGTGTACTCACCTTTTATCAGATATCCTACAAGCTCACTGTTTTACCGTCCTCTATTCAAGGAACAGTCATCGTAATAGTCTGAATAAAGTTGAAAAACTGTATGGACTTATATAATTGAAAACTTCACATTGTACAGTGGATTTCTTGAAGCATACCGAGAGAAGCCTTTCTTCATCCATCATAAAAACAACCAACGTTATCTTTTGACAGTGGTTGATTTTCATTTTATTAATTCCTGCTCCAGTCCGCAAACCCGGGCACTATCACAGCCCACACACAAATCAAGTGACTTGTATGGCGCATATGTATTCGGTGCCCCTTTGTACCAATACTTCTGTGTTCAAATAAATAATAAATTTTATTAATTAATAACAATGGCCCATAATGCCTGTATATTCCTTGTCTTTATTTACTAGTAAAGCTATTGGAAAATGAATGCAAAAATGAAATTTATGAAAGCTGATTATGAAACAAGCTTTATTAAGCGTACTATTTTATTGCATCTGCAAGTCTGTGGGAAGTCATTTGATCACCAATGAATAAGAGTATTTACAAATTTGGAGACACCTTTTACATGAACCTAGACACTTCATGATTCTAGAGTAGTCCGTACACTTTTTGATGATACTTAAATTTGTTTAAATATACCAAACTTCATTTACTGGACTATATTGTCCATTTTTCTTATTGATTGTGCCACAAATAATGAAAAGATGTACCGTCAAATTTACAAAAGATTGATATCTATGATTTCGTCATCTTACTTTTTGGCTAGACGGAATTTGCGGTTCTCATTACAACAGAGAAAGTAAGGAAACAAAAGAAAATACTGATTACATTTTAAGATCCGTTATAATGGCCTTACCCACAGGTTCAAACCAACTTAGAATTTAGGTCAATATATTCGACAGATAAGTAGAATTATTTTAATTTTTAATAATTTCTCTGGATTTACATGTAAATGACTATGTACAGATTTATCATGCATTTTTCTACATATTCACTCCGCTTACTGAAACTTAAGTTGTTTAAACTATATACACATACACACACATCCATTTGTATACTTATCCCTTCGTAAATACCACTTCATCCATTCTCTTCTCTCGTTTTCTAATTATCTGTTATATCATATAAATCGTGTGTCTGAAATAAGTTTTTCTGACTACTTTGGTTTATACACCGTTGAGAATTACTGTCATAACGATTATACGGTTGATTAGTATGAGACGTTTAAGTGCAGGAACTTAGATATCCGCCAAAATGTAAATAGGAACTAATACAGCTAGGTTTGTAAAATTAGTCTCTAGTTTTCATATCGTTATTTCATTCCCACTGTATTTCATTACCGTTATGAGCTGTCGTTTCATACTAATTTCATTTCAACGAGCTTAAAAGTATTTTTAGGATATTTTTCCTAACGTTTTTCGTTTCTATTAAACAAAATAATCTATTTTAAAATGAATTTGATATCCTCATTGAAATAAATAAAAAAAATGTCACTTTTGGTTTTGTAGAACATGGAACAGATCAACAAGTTATCTGGAGCTTTCTCCGTAACGATCTATTTTATCATTCTAGTGAGTAGAATCAAATGTCAGGAGGTCATAGCCAGTCAAGTAAGTTTATTTTTGTTGTAGCAGTACTACTTGTCGACATACTTGTATGCTATGGTATTTATTCTCAAACAAATCTTTATTTACTGTGTTGTGATTATCTGACTTTAAATATTATTACTTACTACAAGATTTATGATAAGTTTAAACTGCTGCACTTTTACACACAGTATCATTGTTGAAAAGATCCGTACTTTGAGCTACAAATATCGTTCGAACTTCTGTTTACAAAAAAGCAGCAGTTGTTTTTCTTATAATAACCACAGTTTCAACATCACACATATTTAAGTGTGTGTTTCACTAATCTTTTTTGCACTTTTGATCGATTTCTCTTTTTGTTTGAACACTTTTCATGTATAACGTAGACTAATAATTAAGGTTTTGTAGAATGAATAATGCGTTATTCGAGAAGGTTAAATTCATTTATATACTGTATCCCCTCACTTTTCTGTCGTATATTTTTTGTCCGCTATTTTATGATATGAAGTTGCCTTAACAATAATTGAAATAGTTTCTGCTACAAGTGGTGTAAGTAAATCATTTGGTTCTTCCATACACATTCTAGAGTTTTTAAACTAGTCGAATTAACCTGTTTGGATTTTATAAATTCAGAATAACTGGTTTGAAAGTAACACGATCAAGAGCAGTGACTGGATTAATATTTTAAAATTGCTGAATATTTTGGAGAAACATTTCACTGCTGGATGTACACCATAGTGATAAGATCCTTCTATGTCCATCGTGGGAACTAATCTAAGGCTGCTCCTAAAATGCGCGAGTTGTGATACATAATTGGTCATATGAATGAATATTTATGAGTAAATTAAAGAAAGGCTGTGTTAACCTATTTAGTCTAGGTTAAATACTGGAAAACGGATGATATATTGATCAATACATGCTTTTAATGACTCCGAGCAAGCCATTTATATATTTCATCTGAATAATCATTAGTCAGCTCACATTCAACTCTTTTAATTACATCCCTAAGATATTTGAAGTTGATATCGCTCCATGATCTTTACGACCAAAAATGCTTTTCCTTATGTTTAAGGCTGGTGTTTGCTAGAAATAAATGGTTATTTGATCATAGTTGCAGCAGACGGTCGCCATTATCTGATTACACAGCTGCAGCACCATAAGATCCACATGAATGCCTTCCGGTTTGGTTTTGTCTACCTGATTGAGCACTAAAATAACCCATCACTATTACTTCATCAGGACACCTAACTTTTCGAATGAGATTGGATATCTTCCTATAAAAATTAATCTTTAGTTTCATCCAAGCTACAAGCAATGAGAGCGTAAGCAGGGCAAAGATATGTCCCTATCTTTTTGAGTTTTTACTGTCCCGTTTAGTTGGACAGCGCAAAAGCAACTCTCTATTAGAATTTAGTCTTACAGAGGCTATTCTGCTTTAGAACTTAAGACTGTCTGCACGAGTGAGGCCGCTGGAAGCAGTATTGGGGTCTCCAGATACTCGATGGGTAAATTGTGCCGGTTGTTTCTACTGACAAGTTGAGGTCGAATAAATTACCGTATTTGGATCCCGTTTGGTCGTTTCAGAACATACACAGCATACATCGATGACGCAAGACTCTAGAGTCGCAGCTAAAGAAGCTTGTTATCCTATCTGACACAAGGTCTGAGCATTAAAACTTCAACATGTAGTTTAGAGCGTGGTTTCAGGAGACTAGGAATGACATTTCGTGAACTCAAAGCATTAGCATCGGGGGCGCGTGTGGATGAAGATTTGTGAGAACAGATAGTTGTGGGGATGGAAGGATTATTCAGAATTAAGCAGCGATTTGATCTCGGGGGCTATCAGTGGATGTATGAGGGCGGTTGTCACTTCCCGGTTGCCCACACTGTGGAAGAATATTTCTTCTTGAGGGACTGAAAAAAAGCTGAATTAGTGGTGGTCTTGGCGATCTATGAGTGTGACCGCAGAGCTTAAGAGATAAATGTTTTAGGCCGGTCTCGCACAGCCTTTTTATAGAGAGCTTTAAATGTATTAAATCCGCACTTCTTACTGCCGAAGAAAGAAATCCGTGGGATGAGGTGAGGTGTGATATTTTTGGGCGGACTTTTTCTAGCCTCTTCCTCCTGTTATGAGGTGTCAGCATTGATAAGCTGCTGGTTATCCAAAGAAAACATCCTACCTGTTGCCACAACCCTCTACAGTCAGCAGCACGACTTCGTCCTTGGGGCCTAACCTACCTGCTTTGCATGGTAGGACCTAAAAGAACATGTTTTCCAGCCAATATAGCTCAGTTGAGTCATGGGGATAGGCAAACCCGACCACCGCGTCAGGGTAGCAGCTAAGGTGGAGGAAGTAACGTGTTGTTAGGTAATTGTCGAAATCCCTAAATACTGTTAAAATGAACATATTCAGTCACTCATACCATAGCTATCCACAATATGCTAATATGTAACTACTTCATATTTGTGTTTCATAATTACAGTCGTTTCAATATATATTTGTTTGTAGTAATCGTAATTTTAAGTATAAATGTTTCGATAGACAACTTCTAAGTAGATACCGATTAAAGCACAAGTTGCTAAAGTAGTTTTATCAAACTAATTATCTGATCAGTACATGACTGACTGGCTTTGTTATGACACATTCATCTGACCAGCTTTATCAAATAGCATGGAACATGAATACCATAATTTCACTATTAATCATTATCCATAATGTATATTTGTTTGTTGAAACATGCCGAAAAACAGTATTTAAAAAATATATAACTCTTTTTTCCTGTTTTATATTTCATTTTCAAGGTGATATTGCTGTACTTCTACGTTCTGGACTAACTGTACCAATGGCTATGTTATTTAATTTTGTTTCTGCGTGTTCAGCATATATAGGATTGTTTGTTGGTTTATCTGTTGGTGATCTAAATGATGTAGCACCGTATGTGTTTGCTTTAACCGGTGGCTTCTTTATGTATATTGCTCTTGCAGATATGGTAAGTGGTAGTAATTAGTTAAGAAATTTATAGTAGAGTAGCGTTTAATGTTCATTCGGCTTGCCGACGTAAATATACTAATATATTCATAGATTTTATATCACGAATTGGTCTTAGTTAGATCATCATTGAAAACCTGAAAGCATTGGACGGCCGCTTCGCCCTAGTTTTGGACTCATCAAGAGTACTTATCCACGACCCTGCATCCGGGAACCGAACCCAGGACTTTATCAGGTCTCGCGAGGGAACGTGTGACCTGTAGGCTACTGATCCGGCATCCAACAGTGTTGATGTATAACTTCAACTGACTCATAGTCTTGCGCAACCATCCTCTATTGTCTTGGGTGAGTAGCTGTTTCGCACTTGACGTGGTTGAACGCCACTTCCTGGATGCGCGGTCATAACTGCGCACTGCTGAGGTGTCCCATACTTGAACGAAACGGACGTTTAGTGACTTCAGGTTTTCACTAGTTATCTAACCTAAATAAGTTCTTGATATAAAAGACACGGAGATTTTATAATCTTCACGAAACCCTATATTGGTAGTGTATGTTTCTATTATTTACTTCGAGAAATTGGCGAATAAGGGTATTTTGTTGTAAAAAAAAAGCACCTAAATAACGAAGTGTCACTGAAATGAATTAATTATAAGTATGAAAAATGGAATTAAATTTTTAACTCAAATGACTTACCATCATTACTTTTGTAATAATGACGATAATGCACATCACTTTGTTTATCAAATGTTTATCAGTTAAACCGTACATGCTTGTGAATCGACATTTGACATTTTCATTTATACTAATTTATTTACACCTTTGGTGGAGTTATAACATAAAATGGTTCACTTTAAAAAGGGTTAAATTTATTTATATGTATTCCTATGGCTTGTGTTGTATGTAAGAGCTTTTGGAATGGTAAATATACATGTAGTTGGGGGAACTAGGTAGTTTATCTTTATTTTATGAACTCACTATGGGCTGACTAAAAAAGAGAGCATAATCTTAGTGTATTAAATCTACGCTCTACAGCTTTTCGTACACGTTGAATTACTATTTCACCGGCTATATCACCTTTGAACTGTATTTTCAGGAATAAAGGCTATTTTAGTACCGTTGATGGTCTCTATATAGGCTTGGTTCCAGACGTATGCTTCATTAGGTACTGATATGGGCATCCGTGTTGACCTAGCAAATTATTAGTAAATTTTAGTTCCTCTTCAAGAGTGTTATCGGAACAAATCATTTTGGCTCTGTGATCTAAGCAGTAGATGTTTATATTAACTTTGTTTAGTCGATCCACGATAAACATTTTCTATTGTTGTTCTTCTCGTCAATAAAACGCCTAGTGAGCAGATGATTTCTCAGTTTTCTTCTTCCTTTATTAAAATGATTTCTCTGTCGACTTCGGTAAAAATTTCTAATAGGCTCCAAGCTTCTTCGTTTTTGATTATCATAAAACTGTTATACACATAGTGGCAATGAAGTTTTACATCATCTAGCTAGTAAATAAGCCTAGTTAATTGTAAGATACTTACACTTCTTATTTCGCTTATTGCCGGTACCTAACTTCATTTTATGATCGTTATACTACAATATCGCATATTAATGCTCGCTTTTTTCCACAATTTATTGAATACTTGACTGGAAAGCGTGTTAACCCTACACAGCAGAAAATCAAACGTCTAATGACCAATATTCAGCCTATATAACTCCCTTCATAATGCGTGACAATGTTTGATGTGTCAAGTGAAATTAAGCCTATGATCAGTTAGTAAACAATGACAAAAATATCCATCTACACTTAGTATAATCAATAATGTTATATTCACTTGTCGACTACTTTATGTTGTGTGCTATTAATAAACTCTCGTTCTGATCTATCATATCTGGTTCTCTATCGTTGATTGGATCATTGAATCAAGTGTATCCATATGAATAAGTATTATGAAACATTTAAGATATTTATTTAGTGTTCAGTTCTAATTGGTCTATGTAGTATTTAGTGTTCAATAAAAGCTCACTAAAATATCTTTTCTTTTTCTTACAACAGTATTATTGTTCTGTTTTTTTTTCTCACACTTACAATGTATATATTGTAGCTTCCAGAAATGCGTGCTATGGAAGATGCAAAACGAATAGAGAACGGTAATTGTTGGGCAATGTTTCTCACAAATCTTATTGGTCTTCTCTTCGGTTTTGGCTGTATTGTGACAATTACATTGACTAGTCAATATATAAATATTTAATTATTATTATTATTATTATTCTTTCGTAACTTATAAAATATAATGAAACAATAAACTAAGAATTTGTCAATCCAATGATTTTCATTGTGATTTATTATTTTTTTTTCTATTTACCATTTTATTCGTCTCCTTTATACTTTTCTATTTATTGTTTACTCTTTATCTGTCTATTGAATCTTTCATTATTTTTAAAATGAATAACTTTTATTCAATTTTAATCTAACTATATACATAATTGTTTCAATTGTTTAAATGTAAAATCATTTGTTTGTTTGTTTGTTTTTATTTTTAAAATTATACTTTTTGTTTACTTCAAATTGATTATTATGCAGTTTGAAATCTATCCTCACTATCTTTTTCTCCCATTTTTCCATCAATCAATTAATTGTCTCCTATTTTAATTTAGAGACAAAGAAAAACAAAAAACGCTATTGGATAATTTATCAGTTCTACTTTAAAAATCATAATGATCAATCTTGTTCACTAACGTTTCACTTATGTCTTTTTATTATCAATAAAAAGTAACTGTATTTTGTGTGTGTGTATCAGAAGTTCATCTTGTTATTACGTTTTGATTGCAATAGGCATAAACATCTAGATAAATACATAAACATTGTATATGTAATTTCTAGTCAACTCATTCTTGTATCACCTTGTAATCCATTGTTATCTTTGTCGCTCTTATTATCATTGAAATTACTATTATTAAACATATGAATATCCATTCAGATTCTTTAGTAGAATATTGGGATTAGTTATTGTAGTGATTTATTTCGAGTACTGATATTGGAAACAGTTCATCAAATAGTCGTCCTTTAATTTCTTGTTTATTCTCTGTTGACTAGGTTATCTTTGATCATACAGAGATCACTTCTCATATATATATATATATATATATATATATATATATATATTATTTGCTCACTGTGAATATATTGATTACTATTACTCTATAAATGCTATCTGTATTTTGTTTTTTTTATGAACTTTCACGCTTATTTTGTCTTTCTTTTCTCTACAGTTGTTTTTTTTAAAAATCTTTTTATTTGTATCTTTGCTATTGTTATTATTAATAATAATGTCACTGCTGCCAATAAGATAACACTAATAATACCGTTGTTTTATAATTATTATTATTATTATTATTACAAATAATACTATTTATACACTGGAATGTTGTTATAAAAGTTACTTGACAAATGGTATTTGAATGTAAACAGATGAGCAGTATTTTTTTTAATCATTTGACTAATATTTATATATGCATATATATATATATACGTTCACCCATTACAGTTTGTAGACTCATATAGGCATCATTAATGGGTAGTTCTTTTATTACATACATGTGAGAAGTTTGACAACTAATATAACTTTGAAAATACTCGGTTTTTTGTTACTTAGATTAATATTAGTATAATTGTTTTGTGTACTTGTTATCTTGATGAAAAACACAACTGTTTTTTCTATTAGTTTATTGTTTTCTATGACTTTCATTTACCTAATTAGTGTAAGCGTTATTTTCGGTATTAAAATTAATCAGTGATAAATCAATTCAATCAGAATATAGTTTTGTTTTTGTGTTGAAAAAAATTATTTTCAATCTTAAGCAACATCTTTATTATTTAAAGTTTTTAAACTGTCAAGTTATTATTTTTGAGTAATAAAAGCAAATAATATGTTGGCAATCGAGAGTAATATTTATACTTTTCTTTCATTGACTAGTTAAAATAATTACAACATTACCAATCTAGTTAACAAAAGTGATTTAAAATATTAAGCATTCCTGTTTCTATCCATTTATTTACTGTTAGTTTGCTAACACATGAACAAAAAGGGTTTGTCTCTATGTATATTTACCTAGACGTTTTTTACATTGAAACTTTGATAATTTTCAATCAGTTGTAAACCTATATCGAGCTATTTTCCATCACACATTATTGTTGATTATCAAATAAATGTTTCCGTACCATACCGGGTTGGTGGACACGGAGAGTCCACTTAGGGAGTTGGAAAACCCTGATTCCAAACCAATGGTGTACACAAGCTCCAGGATCCTGGGGCAGCAAATGGCGTGTGAACCTATTTTTGGTCACCAACTACCATTGCCTTGTGCATCAGAAACTTAAATCGAAGGTTCCTGGTGTGGCCCTCTAATAAATCCACCTGCTTCGGCCCGGGGAGTATCACCCCACACACAAATCAGGTGACTAGTGTGGCGCATATGTATTCGGTGCCATCGGGACTATCGAGTAAGTAACGCAGTTGTTAGGAAACGGATACTAGGTAAGGATGGCAAATCAATTGATGAAGTAGTGAAACCATCAGTTGAGATGGCTGGGACACGTGTTACGTATGCCCAACCACCGACTGACTCGACGTGCGATGTTCAGTGGTATAGGAGTAGATTGCAAGAAATCTAGGGGCGGCCAGACCAAAACAGGTGTAGACTACCTGGTTGGGGACCGCGTGATGATAGCAACCGATGGTTAGAGACCTTGAATGACATGGCTCAAAATCGTTTGCAATGACGCAGGTGCATCTATTCTTTGTGTTTTCCCAAATTCTAATCTTCTGAATTCCTCATGTCCCTTTTTTTCTCTTTCCAAGTTTATTTCACTGTATTATACTCTTCATATAACATCTACAAACCCTAATTTTCCCGATTACTGCTTATACTCTTATTACCTCTACCACTACGGGATTTGGATCGACAACTGCATCTCTGTGCTAATGTGGTATGGCAACTCGAACTGATGTACGTACGTACGAAGTTCTACGTTGTTACTGACTGACTGACTGAAATAAATAAATATAGAAAATTCCGTACTATAATCATGTCGTATAATGGAATAGTAAAATTTAGATATAGCATTTCATATTAAACAAAAAACCCATTTAGTGAATGATTCTTTTTTTTAATTTAAATAAAATCTGTTAGTTTTTAGATATAACTGTTAGTTTATTTACACTTCTGTTATTACCATAAGTTTTTCAGTTTATACTTAATTTACAAATTACGTTTTATAACTGTACGTATAACGTTTATGACGTAACCTAAATCTAATTCCTGTAAAACTTAACGAGTATCAACTCAATGGTTCGTATATTTTCGTCTTCCTTCTCTGATCCTTTGAGAAACGACTTACAATAACTTTAAAATTCATACATCAAATGCATTAGGGGTCGGAAAGTAGTGTCATATCAGCAACAGGACTGATCATAAACGTTTACAGACAAGAGTGAATACCTGCTAATTACTCTTTAACGCGTTCCTACGTTTATTTTAGAATATTCACAAGTTAAATGCTCATTAAACGGGAATTTTGTTGAACCATTGAATATTTTATGCTGAGATTTCATTTATAGTAGTCAAGCGAACAGCATTGGATATAGCATGTTTTATTATTGTTAATAAATAATTATAGTAAAGAGATAGATGATATTTTCTGGAAAATGTGAGTCATTGATAGGGTTACTGAATTGTAAACTGCAGGTATGAAATGTACATATAACAATAAAACACTAGATTTCTTTCAGTTTCCGAATATCCTACTACCGCATGAGTAAGATAATAACATCGGCTTGAAATTTTCACATATGCTGTATATTTCTTGTTACGATACGGGACCTCACAATCTCGCTCGAGGATTTCTAAGGAGTTTTAATCAAGAAACAATGAATAGACCAATGCTAGTTGGCGTAAAATTAATTAGTTGAAATGGATAAAAAATATTTAGACCGAAGTTTGCGATATGACATCTAGTCTCCTTCAAGCGTTCTGATTATCACTTGCTAAATAACACATACTCAACTTTTACTAAGTAACTTTTTAATAAAAAATTGTCTACCTATGACTTTAGAAACGCCATTCGAAACTTTTAAAAAATCAAAGTAAAACATTGAACATTAACTATAAACAATCCGTTTTTACTTATGGTTATCGTCACACTGAAATAATCAACAACTAGAGAGAATGAATTTGTTTGTTTGTAAATCCCAACAATGCATCGTTATAAACCCCTTCGAGGGGAAACAGAATTTTCGAAGTTTTATGGTAAAATAAAATTGTATGCTCATTTTCAGATTATTCGACATCTGATGATGAACATCACATCCGTTCATATGTATATCAACATAAATAAGGTTGAATAATGAAATAATTTTGTTCTGAACTAACAATCTGACTAGATTTATGAATGACAGAATTAATAAATAACTGATGTTTTTAATCAAATATACATATTATACATCATGATGTTGTGGTTGATCTGCCGTTTATTCAGTAGCAACAATGATCAAATAATCAACATCCCTATAATTTCGCTAGTGATATCGAATATAGCTTTAAACCAGTGTCAAAGAGTATGTGCTTATCTATATAGCGACAAAACGATGATAATGATTTTATTTCACAGGCAGATTTCGGCAAACTAATTCAAAGTTTCGGAAATTTACTTGTAAAGTAATTCATATAGAGAGTGAGTTTGACTTTTGATAGAGTTACGAATGCTTTAATTTGTGTTCTTCCTTAGTAAATTTAAAAGTTTATTTAGTATTTACAAGAAGAAATATTAGATTTAAGTCTCCGATTTCATAAAGCGTCTGGTTTAAGATTAATTTATTTGGGTTTGTAGTTTAAAATATTATCATTCCCACAAATTAGAAATGTAAATCGCCGCCAGTCGTGTTGATAAAATCATTAGTCTGTCAAGAGTTATAAAAGTATACTATTATTATTTGGTAATTTTAGTATGGTAATTTACAATGTCATTGTCTCTGAAAATTACTGATGAACTCAGCAACTATCAAGATTAAAGCCTGTAATTGTGTGCTTTCTAGTCGTCAATAAACTATGCTTCTGGTCAAGTTATTACACCGTATTAACACAGCTACGTGAAATTGTCGAATAGTAGAAGCCATAACAATATTAAAAGAAACTGGAAAAAAACAAAATGTTTCGTGAGAATAAGTTAACTCATCGAACAAGAAGTATAGCA